TGTATGTCTGTGTGTCTGTGTGTGTGTGTGTGTGTGTGTATGTGTGTGTGTGTGTATGTGTGTGTTTGTATGTATTAGTTCCGTGTAACCTTCATATTATGGCTGAGTTTACCCGCCGGGTATCAGCATTCTTTTCATGTTTTTCTGTGGGCGGATTTGGGAAACTCCTCCCTGTGGTCGGGTGGCTGCCCACTGCCGTGTGACTCAATCGGGTACGTGCTCTAAGAACCCCGGGTGGGTGTGTTTGTTATGGCTGGGGTCATTGCGGCAAACAGATTTTTATGAATAGCAAACATTGTATTTGAAAGGGCTGTGGAATCTGTGGGTCCAGACTAAATACTGCCTGGCCTGAGACTGCCTCGGACTCTGTAAATAAATTGTGAGAAGAATCGAATCTTGTCCAATAGGGTTAACTGTTGAGAGGGGGAACGTTATTACATACATTTTAATTCAAACAAAAGAGTAGCCTTCGATGAATTTTTATGCCTATAAAGTGAGATTATTGAAACGCAGGAAGTTGTGTTTGCTCATAGACCCGCTCTATCACTCAATTCTCGGGTATGGCAGTGAAGGGGTGAACTCTGGACTTACTTATTTTGGTCCCTTTTTCTGTCCCTGCATTTGTCTCTGTCCTCCTGTTACTGTTCCTTTCTTTCTGTCTGTCCCTGCATTTGTCTCTGTCCTCCTGTTACTGTTCCTTTCTTTCTGTCTGTCCGTGTGTTTGTTTCTCACCAATCTCTTGCTCACTGTCTCGCTTGTGCTGTCTGTCTGTCTGTCTGTCTGTCTGTCTGTCTGTCTGTCTGTCTGTTTGTCTGTCTGTCTGTCTGTCTGTCTGTCTCTCTGTCTGTCTCTCTGTCTGTATGTCTCTCTGTGTGTGTGTGTATCCCCCCTTCCACCCCTTCTCCCTCTTTCTCTGTCTCTATCTCCCTTTCTCCACCCCCTCTCTCCCTCTCTTCCTCCACCCCCCCCCTCTCTCAATCTCAAAATAGCTTTTCAATCACTCCGTAGTGCCCGTTGCTACACATTCCAATGCTGCCGTACCAGCACCAAAGCCAGCACCAAAGCCAGCACACAGTACATTCGTCACCTGCCTTTGAACACAAATCATTGTATTTATAAAGCAAGGCAGCTGCTGCGTTGAGGCGTTTGCGGTTTTAGCTAAGCATTTAGTATTTTTTTTTTTTTTTTTTACTATTGTTTGTTGAAGTAATAAATAATAAAACTTGCAAATGAAAAGACATATATGTAAATTCTAGTTCGGATTTTAAACGCTACCATTATCTGGGTAGTACGTGCCTTTAGAGTTTGTCTACAGTTTTGTTTTTCATTTTGATGTCAGAAATGTAAACGATGTTGTTTGAACATGAAACGGGTTGCTTTAGCACACAAAAAAAAATTAAATTATTTAAAAAGCACCCCTATCCCCCAAGAAACTATTTTTAAAAAAACCTCACACACAAACAAACTATACGAGCATGCAGTTTGTTAGTGTGCAACCAATCTCTGGTGCAACTCTGCAACTCGGATCATTACTCGTGAGACGTACACAAATGTACAATCTAAACTAGTCCTCTTTTGAGAGCATGAAAAAAAAAAAGAATGCCAACTAGACACATTATTTTTTTAAAATACGCCACCCGGGCAAAATTCAAAAATTATTTCCTTCCAAAACTGAAAAATACTTTCTTTCTGTCTGTCCGTGTGTTTGTTTCTCACCAATCTCTTGCTCACTCTCTCGCTTGTACTGTCTGTCTGTCTTTCTGTCTGTCTCTCTGTCTGTATGTCTCTCTCTGTGTGTGTCTGTGAAAACAACCAACTTGTGTCCTTCGTGCTCATAAGACCTAATCATGTCGTTGGGAGAGCCGTAAAACTGTTGCCAAAACAATACAAAAGCAAAAACAAAAACAAAAAACCAAGACATAGGGTGCGAACGGGGCTTTAGAAAATTTGGTACAGTGGACGTCTGAGCCTCAGGTGTTGCTTGGGGGGGGG